TGCTATGAGCAATCGCCCGTCAACGGGATTGATCCGCAGGGCCGAAATCGGCATTGAATCCAGTTAATCTAAAGCTATAGTTGAAATCACAATGTTAACTTTTTATTTGCTACCTATTACAATGGTGTGGCGATGAATGAATGCATTAATCCCTCGAAAGCGTGTTAGTACATTCGTTCTCCACCGCAGAAACCTGTGGTCCGGAGTATTGCAAATATCTCAGCACGATTATAGAAGATATCCTATTTGCCAAATACATATTGTGAACCACTAGAAAATCTCAGAAACTCAAACTTATTATTCTTGTTATTACACGACCCGACATCAGATGTATCACACTGTGCGGAAACTAGCAATTTTTGCATGTGATTCGTTTCTCGCGCCCGTTATCCACGAAAGTCTTCGAATTCCCTACACGGAGGTTCGGCATCTGCTTGAGGATTTCAAATTTGTCACGAATGTCATTGAGTGCAAGTTGAGTCGCTTATTCCTGTAATCTTGGTGCTGCCGTGCTAGAACGTTTCAACATGATTAGAACGGGTGAGATTGTGCTAGACATGTCTGCTACCAATTTTCCGACCCGTAGTGATGATACGCTTAGCGGCCCTGATGTGAGCTCGAACCAGCGTTTGGGTAGGTTGAGTCGTCCTCGTAATGAGCGGGATTATTATCACTGCACTATCCGCTCTGCTAAACAGACTAAATACATCAACAAAATGGTAAAATATTCCAAAGATGCTGCCAAAATCTCGAAGGAATCGTAAAGTTGTTCCCATACAGTAGTCTCCAATGAAAAATTTGGCTGATTGCGATTATGATATATTCCAATCATCTATCGGTCCTTTGTTCTACTAACGCAAACCTTTCCCGGAACAATTCGGAAAACAATGTTTGTGAATTCAACATGAAAACCATCTTTTTCTATTGAATAGTAGGAGTGGGTGTTTGTAGCGCAGTGGCTAAAGGTGCCCTGCAATGTCCACTGTCGCGTCGCTTTGCACTTGCGACTCACGCAAACCTTGCTTCTTACCTTCACTGGGTCGACAAGTTGGTACCAGACTAGCCTAGGATATTAAAAATACTGATTTCATAAATGTACAGGTTCCGTGAAGCTATTGTACATGCCAGCTGTGCATTCAGCCACCTCTGCGATTCTTAATGGAGGTAAATACGTAGCACATCCCCGAGAGATTGATCAACACTGGACGTGCATTCTAATACAAGTTGATTCAGTCAAAGCCATACAACCAGTTGACTGAGAGCTAAGTGGAATGAGGTTGAGGATCACCTTCAAAAATACTGTAGTGCAAGGCGACCAACAAATATAGAGGCTCAGCTGAGATTACGATTCTCTCTATACGCCTTAGCTGAGAGGAACTTGACAGAGCCAGCTTTTTACATGACGAATAACGTGTGCTAAAGGTGAAACGAGCGAATACGAAAGAGCTAGAGTTGTCTGTTTCCTCATTGGACCTGCAAAATGAAGTAAACCAAGATGAAATCTAAACTGAGGCCGTAGTTCTTCATTAAACCAAGAGCCGAGTTACAAATGCGCATAGAAAGCACCAAAGCTTTTGAACCTAACCAGCACCATACAGTGTGCAGAACTAAGAGCGCTCCTAAAAAATCACATTTACTCCTATGTTATATCCTTGTTGAAAAGAAATTCACTGCTTTTCATCGTCGTTCTTATGTAACTTTTATATTTTAGTTCGATGGTCCGATGTCTACTTCAGGACGGAACCTCCTTAACCAAATGCCATATGTTATTTATAGAGACACTAAGGCACAATCTGTTTGTTCTTTTTTCTCTCTTTGGTTTACCATTCATTCTGTCATCTTACAAACTTACCCCATAAAAGGAACTTATCGCGGATTCCTAACTGCTCCCAACATCACTTCTCACCAGAAGATGGTAGTTTTCACAGAAAATGAACTCGTACTCAAAAGAAGATCGGAGTTTTAACATAAAAGCAAATCTTTACATGAGGAGCTGAACGATTTTTAAGAAACTGAAAAATACCAGTGTCTACAGTTATCATCTCTATTTAGAAGTAACCTTTCTGCAACCATGATCATTTTCAAGGAATACAACATCTACGGCTGAAAGAACAATTCAAACCATTGTCTTCTTCGTTCTGTGAGTTTTAGTAAATTCTTTTAATTCGAAAATATTCCACACCAACTAGTTTTAGTACCAACTCCGTCAAGTCGTTCAACAACTGCAGCAGAAGCGGTATGTAGAACGCATAATATTGGAAAAATGGAGTCTTAACTCTTTTATTTACTGCCTCTTTCTTCTTAATGGCAGGGTTTGTTGCGAAATATAACTCGTATGAAATGCTGAGATATTTGCAAAACTCCGGACCGCAGGTGTATGCAATGTGGAACGAACACGCGCTGTTGTCCTTACCGTGAGCAGCGCACTTCACCACCACACCATCCGGGTCCTTCCTCCTGTCTGTCTCTCAGCTAGTTCTATCGATCGAGACGTGTCGTTTTCTTATTCAGCAATCGCGAGGTTTTTAAACAGCATACATTTACTTCCATAGAAAAACACAATACAATACAACGCTAGCTGACGTTTCGGCAGTATCGCCTTCTTCAGAGCCACTTTTTCATAACTTCCAATGAGGAAGTTTAAAACAACTTTAGAGTCGTCAACCACATGCGACTATAATCAGCTGTTCTAAACTTCCTCATTGGAAGTCACGAAAAAGCGGTGGGTTTTCCGAGAAGTTGTTGATCATGTAATTACCAGAGTTTTTCGTCTTTTTGTAAGTGTTATTGAAGCGTTTGGCCTAGTAGATTGTATATCAGTATACCCTTCCAGGCTCTGAAGAAGGCGATACTGCGGAAACGTCAGCTAGCGTTGTATTGTATTGTGTTTTTCTATGGAAGTAAATGTATGCTGTTTAAAAACCTCGCGATTGCTGAACAAGAAAACGACACATTCATATTGCAATGCCGAGGTTAATAGAAAGTCGATCCTGGGAACTATTACTGATAAATTTCCATTAAGATAGTAGCGTGAGAAAGCAATTAACACACCCATCACCACACGCATTGATTCAAATGCATACATTGTTGCGTATTTTGAACAATATGCAGAGGTCTCAGTATATGTCAATCCAAAGCTTTTTTGCTGCATGCATTTTTCTGCGATATCAACTCCTTTTTTACTGCCTATTACAATTTTTCACGGCAGGGTATTATGTGTGATACAACCACAACGATGTTGAGATATTTTCAAAACCCCGGACCGCAGGTGGTCCAGGCGATAGAACTATCTGAGAGACAGGAGAAACGAAGGACCCGCATGGTGTGATGGCGAATGTGTTAGCCTCCAGAACGGGTAAGAACGCGCTCATTCCCCACGGAATACACCAGAGGTCCAGAGTTTTGCAAATATCTCAGCAACGTTGTGGTTGTATTTCGCTTAGTACCCTGCCGCGAAATTATAGTAGGCAGAAAATAAAAAGGTATAACATTGTGATTTCAACTACAGCCGCAGCTTAACTGGGTTCTATGCCGATTTGGGCGCCCCAGATCATTCCCGCTGACGGGTGATTGCTGTGGCAAAGATCGATAGAAATAGCTGAGAGACAGGCGAAACCATGGACCCGCATGGTGTGGTGGTGAACCCGTTACTCCCCGGAAAGGACAATAGCGTGTTCGTTCCCCACCATAGACACCTGCGGTCCAGAGTTTGCAAATATCTCAGCAACGTTGTGGTTGTATCTCAGCATCATTGTGATCTTTCCGCGATCCCTTCGCCACCGTAATTGCTGCATAATCCACAAGTTTTCTTGAGACGAACTCATCATTATTCATGAGTAGTAGAATATATGACATGTGAAATGCAATTGTTTTACTTCCAAACTTTCAACCCTTTCTTAGAGTTCACAGTTTTCTATGAATTTGTGGGGTTGCGATCGATTAAATTTGCTGTTGAGGATAGACAGTACTATGCATTAAAAATACCCAGGGTAGTTCACCTTTCCATGATGTTTTAGTTCAGTACAGTTAATAGACACTGTTAGCTGCTTTTCCGTTTCTTAAACTGGGTAGTTACCTGCATCACCAATTCTTGGTATTCACAGAAACTGAATACACACGAAAAAAGTGTGCACTCGTCCCTGAAGCGTACCACACAAGATAGTGCTCTTTTGATTAGCCTAACAACACTTACCGGTCACACCCTCGCGTTCTTTGCGAAAACTAATTGGAACCATGGACAGGTTGTTCAGTTCTGCAAAAACGAACACGAAGTCTACGTTTTGGAGATAAACCTGAACCTCCATCAGTGCTTTCACGTTAAATTGAGACATAGGATTCAGTCCGTGAAGATTTTTAGAGAAACTTTCTCACAAACACACAGAGTTCTTATATAGATCACATGTTTCCGTCTGTTCTAGGAATACGCATTTTACAAGAAGCGCACATAATCCCTGAAATCAGAAAAATCTGCGGGTGGAAAACGAACTTTCATTAAATACTTAACATTCTGAATGTCATGACAAACATAATTCCACAAAGACAACAACTGTCAACATAGCAGTGATTTATCGTGAAATAAAATATAACTTGACAAGTAGCATTCTATTAAGAAATTCTCTATCAAATGCAGAATTCTCTACCTACCTAATACCCTCTTTAATTCTGCATATTTAATAAAGGAATTCTCCTTGGGAAGAGAATTTAAAAAAGAATTTTATATATATTTGTTAGGTAACCAGAGAATTCTCTACTTGATGGAGAATTCTCTATACCTTCATCCATTCATACAAATACAGACACGTTCCACTGGAAAAAAGACAACTAAAGATCTTCCAAAAAAGTAGGAGGACAAGTAACCAGTCGGAAGATATATTGATTTTAAACTCCTATCCAATTCCTTTGATTGTCATATATTAATTAGCAAGTTACTCTACCACATATGATTACACATTTGACAACAGATAAAATTGTTGTTCTCATATCTAACAAATGGGATATTCTTAACGAGGATCTGACTTTTTCGGCAACGAGGAAACGAAGTCCACATCAGACATCTCCGCTTTGACCACGTCTAGTCCTCCTAGTAGCTCACCATTGAGATACAACTGAGGATACGTTGGCCAGTTGGAGAAAGACTAAAGTAGGGAAACAACATATAACTGCTAGAAATACTCGTACCACTTAAATATCGTTCAAACTCTATGACCAGCTACAAAATCACTCCCTTCATTAACTCAGAATACGCCGAATAAAGGCACAGTTTTCAACTCACTGCAACCACGGTTGCCTAACACAAAGAGCACATACGGGAAGAACTCATGGATACTAACGCTATAAAATACACCTACTTTTAGCCCTTGTCGCACCTCCTCGTCTTTGAGGATATCAAAAGTAGAATAGTCTGCTTCAACTCCATCCAGCAAATCAATAATTTGACGAGAAAATTCTGCAATATTATAGAAGACACTCATGGACACTAAGGAATACCAATATTCTAATAAACGATAACGAACTACACTGTGGTTGCTGACGATCGCCTTTCATAAACAGCATCAGCTTGTGAGAGTTTATCAGAGCTTTTAGACGCGTATCCAAGTCATTTCGCTAAAAGAGGATAACAACAAACTTTTCTCAGCTAGAAGCACATAAATAAGTAAAGCCAACAATACTGACCTGTTTCTTGGGTAGCTTAGCGACAAACTCGCTATCTTGGAGTTCCTCACGAAATACATCGAGGCCACCAATGAGCTCACCGTCAAGATACAGCTGTGGAAACGTTGGCCAATTCGAATACGTCTAAAACAGGACTTCCTCCACAGTTCTGCAGCATTCAGAAAGTGCTAGATATAGAATTCTCACCTTAAGACCTTGCCTTACTTCCTCATCTTGAAGAATGTCAAATGAACCATAGCTTGCACTCAGATCATTCAAAAGTCCAACAATTTGTCTTGAAAAGCCTGCATGTATAGAAATGAAAAGAAATATTACTAAAGCGAAAAGTTGTGACTATAAAATCCACCATGTGTTTTTGTCCATTCATAACCCGCAATATTTCCCAAAGTCTCACGAGCTGATCAAAAATCGCCACACGCATACTGCGCTATCGCACCAACATGCTCAACATATTCAGCGGCCGACCATAGAATTACAACAATTTTGATTTGCCATAAATCTTTACTTTGTATTACTATTAACTTCTTAACTAAGTAACCAAATATAAAGAGATATACTGAGCTAAACTGATACTTTAAAGACATTGCGACAGTTTCAATTTGAGATTGAACGATAAACATCCCAGTGTCGCAGCATCCCATTAGCATGCGGTAGTCTCAAAGAATCGACTTCTCGGAGGTACCAAGAGCGCACGTTCCGATAAAAGCGCAAACACATACATGTGGACGACCCCACGTCACATAGCGATACAAGCCCTTGCTTAACATAGCAGTAATTCTAAAACTCCAAAGTTAAGACCATAAGTAAAAATGATTAAAGCTTTCGATCCTGAGGGATGCGCCATGCATTCTACTTCATTAAGCATGGTTAAAGGTAATTAAATGCATACCTGGCCTATACAATGACTCTGCCGATATATCAACTCAGTGCTGATATCCTCCCAGACATGTCTGGTACCAATCCGCCAATCCCGGAGGGATGGAAGACTTGGTGAGCCTGGGCTGTGGTGATCTATCCTGTGTGTGTGTTGCAGGGCTCCTCCGACCACTGCGCTACACGCGCCCATATGTAGGATCCATAAGTCGGACAAAAAACCTACAGTGATCGAATGAAATTACACGGTCTTCTGGCAACATCTCTCTACATCAAACGGAAATAAGTTAAAACCGACTTGCTAGCCGCCTGCATAAAGATTGAACAATATGGCACTGGGAACTCACTATAAGTTTGTTTAACCTCTCTTATCATTCAACAGGGCGCGTCCAGAGCAGTGGTCACGAAGCCCCCCCCCCCCCCCCCCCCCCCAATGCACGTGCGAATGATTCCCGCGCCCAAGACTCACCAAGTCTTCATTCCTCCGGGGTCGGCTAATTGGTACCAGACACTTGTCTGGGAGAATAACAACACTAGCTCGATACATCGGTAGGCCACCGCGAGTCACTGTCGAGGCCAGATATGCATTCAATCACCTCCAACGATGCTTAATGATGTCGAGAATGCATGGTGCATTCCTCAGGGAGTGATCAACGCCGAGAGCTCTATCCCTTATCCCTTATCATCAAACGGCACATCTATATTCCAATGGCCCACCTACCCAAAACTTATATCCCAAGCAACAAACTTAACAAAGAGCAATGTCGTCCACTATTCCTTTGAGTAAGAATGAAAAACCTTTACTGCTTTACAATTCTCACCGCATTTTGGATTGTTTGGAGATCCTTTCATGAAAAGCATAAGACGATTAGATTCTATTAGCTTCTTCAAACGGGTATTCAAGTCCTGAAAGCTTTACAATGCGTCTGGAACAAAAAGAGGAGGCTACAAATAGAAAGTATTTTGCCCACCTCTTTAGGTCCTTTTGACGATGGAATTGGCACAGAGGCTTCTACTGACGCTTGAAGTGGCATGGCGGCGATGTCGAAGGAATGCTTAATGAGTTTCGTCTCAGTTTCGCTTGGTTTATATCCATCCACGCGATCAACCTCTCTTCCTTCCTAAATCTCTACCAAACCGTAGTAATTCTTTCAGATACAAAAACAGGCTGAACGATTCATCTACTAAAGAAATAACTAGAAAAGTACATACCTTAAAGTATAATAGAGTAGGAGCTGCTGAAATCGAATACATAGCCGACACTTCAGCTACACCTTCTGCATCGATGAATGCTACTCCTACCGAATAGGACTTATAGTCTTCCTGAAACGAAGATGACAGCAACCTAACCTTACGAGCAAAAGGGATAAACCTTTAAATCTCTCAGCATTTTGTTGACTTGGTCGCATGGAGGAGCCCATGATGCATAAAAATGCACAACTGCTAATCTAAAGCAAAAAAGTCATGACCTCTTAGCCTTTAAACTGGTATATGAAAGACTTTCATAGAGATTTCCTCGTCACAAAATCAGTTTTCAAATGTCTGGGGAGAGAAGATTTACGGGAAAAACACTCTTACCTCCACTGGGAGATGAACTTCTTGAAGTTCTCCACGCTTCCCAGTTGTGGAATGCTCGTCATGAGGATAACTTTACGCTGTAGCTCTCAAAAAGTAGAACCAGTACACTTAGCAATAACTACTGTAAGGTTCAGACCTTTGAGAAAACAGACCAGAAATAGAAAAATAGGCTTTTAAAAAAAAAGTCGCAAGGCGCAGGTATTGTTGATAGAGCAGGTTATCTGGTGCTAGAGACGCATGTGAAATTTAAACTCTATACGAATGTTTGATAGTTTATTGACTTTTGAGTCTAAAATATGAGAATTTTTCTGTGGAGATATCTTCCAATAGGAAAAAATCTGGTTCAGCACACATACTCATCTAGAACTCTTCTTCAGTTCATGGGTAAGCACAAGTCTACAGCTTTCTCCAGTCTTTTCTTCCTTTTTACACAGTTATATCCTTTTTGGAACCCATATTATAGCGCGTATAGCGCAATGGTTAGAGGTCCGTTACAATAGACGCTTGTTGGTTTGATCTAGCTCCTTGAGCAAATCAAGCTATTCATCCTGAAATCACCCGTTTGATACCGGACTCATTTGTGGGAATAGAAAACCCTAAATCGATGCCTCGATAAGCTCTAGCAAGTCAATATATAGACCAAATACGCATTCAACTACTTTTATGGTGCTACGAATGAGATCGAATGCATGAGGTCTCTATGAGGAAGTGATCAACGCCGAGAGCTCTACCCTTTTTTATATTGGACTATGTCGCCTACAGTCGACGGGAATTACCTGAAAGACGTTTCAAATGCTAAGTTCTCTTTTAGGTCTCCTTTAGCAGTGTCCCACAAACTACTATTCAACAACCATTGGCAGACCCTTACGAGCAATCCATGACTATCCCCTTTCCAGAAACAGCAAAAGTAAACAATTTTGAACAAGCAATTTCGAAATATGTTGTTCATGGTTTTCTCTAGCAAGAGAAACCCTCTAGGTATCTTTGGACTAGTATAAGGACAAATGAAGACTTTATTCATGCCCGTTGAAAATACTTGACGATAAGAATTACTAAATGTGTGCTAATGGGGCGGGGATAGCGACGTGGTTAGTGATGCTGTCGATTAGGAAGCAAAGGCACTAAGTTCGATCCCCATCGCTATCTTCCAATCCACGTGAGAAAGCCTTAGCCCGGTTATCTCCAAGATTGCAGAGAGAATAGACTCCACCAGTATTCTACGACATTCATGAAGAAAATGGAATCCACAAGCAGCCGTTGAAAGAACACGGGAAATGTTCGAAAACCCTTGCGGATGATGAGTGCGAGGGAAACGAGTCGAGTGCAAGAAGTGCCGAGATCGGCACAGTACATGTGATGATGGATGATGTAAAATAAAATAAATATGTGAAGTGAATGTCTCCCAAGGCAAAACTGCTTCGTCTTTAGAATAATTCCGTCTTTGTTCAATCCCATGTGCCGTCGACTGCTCTCATCACTTGATTAACTGGTCTATATCTATTTTAGGTGCATAATCAACTGAAAGGGCGAGTGTAGCACAGTGGTCCGAGGCGCCCTGCAAAACACATGGGATCGATCCCCGGGCCTATGGTCCGGCCCACCAAGCCCTTCATCCTTCAGGGGTCGGTAAATTGGTACCATACTTGTCTGGGAGGATAGCAGCACTGGCTCGATACATCGCCAGGCTACGAACACTAATGGTTGTCACTACACTGTAATATCATTAGGGATTCTAGCTCTTTATCCAGATTGTCATCGCTCTTTCCTTGATCTACGTTACCATAGGAATTTCGGTCCTGGCCGCAATGATCACAATGGTACTTTTATGTACCGTTTAATTATCGTTGTTCTTCAATAATAAGTTCTTATCAGGTAAGACGCTTCTCCAACTGAAAAATGTGTTATTCGCATGACTTGGAATTTTATGAAAGAGATCGAAGAAAGGAATTTATTGAAATGGAACTGCTTGAATGGACGCCCATTCGTACTTTATTTTAGCACTAAAGGCCACCACTGGTAAATCAGAGCCCGTTTAGCGCAGTTGGCAGTAATGAAGTCGAATGCATGGCGCATCCCTAATGGAATGATCAACGCCGAGAGCTCTAACTTCCTTTTTATTTAACTGGATCACCGTAATGAGGTTGTTAGAATGTTCGGTGGAGCGACACTGATAATTCATAATGCAGAAAGTCAATCTCAGAAAGTCCAAGCGTTCTTTGAACATCAGGAAAGAATCTCGAGACGGACAATATATCAGTCCACGGCTTAGTTGTATAGCAAAGCTGTGAAGGAACTTTTGAGTTGAACAGGTGAGTGGTTGATGTTAACCCGATAGACGGTCGGTGGTTTCTGATTAAGGCAAGGGCAAATCTCCATATTGCTGAGGACTCCCATCCAGTTCTTCTTGAAGTCGTTCATCACCTCTCTAGAAAGATCAGTACAATAAAGGCGTTAGGTTTCTTGAACATATCCACTGCTTCAATAGTTGCACGTTACTAGAAAGCACTAGACGATACTGACGAACTTTAGGCATGGGTACTGCAGTGGAACGATTGCGATTCGAAGTGCAATCGTATAAATACATGTTCAGGACTAGGAGGGCTCCGGTTGAACTCACCCCATGCCCATCAAACCTCCCGTCATTACAGGGTCGGCAAATTGGTACCAGACTTGTCTGTGATCAGCTTACTGCAACCTGCGAATGACGACGATTGCCTGAGATATGGGAACGCTCTAGCACGGCTATTCAAGGAACCCGAGGAGAGTTGATTCCACCAGTATTCAACAAAATTGATGAAGCAGGCCAAAAACTTTACACAGCAACCCAGCCAACCCGCAAATACGAAAACCGTGTCGCACCGATACGAAGAGACGAATCGAATACAAGAACGTTCGAAATTCGCACGGCATGTATGATGTATATTCATATAAAAACAAGGAAAAGTCTTTTTATTATTTATTATTTGGTTATTTTGATGGAATTTAGGCTTCAGAAGCCACTATGACTCCGTCACGTAAACCGATACTTATCGTCGACGATGAAGTGATCACTGTTATGGAAGAACGCTGCACCGTTGTTATTTTCCACTTCTTTTCTATAAGTCGTATAATCATCACATTTTATTTTTTCCAATGCCGCTGTTCCGTCTGGTCATCGCCAGCTATTAATTGACCCTGAACAAACCATTCGGTTATCCCTAGTTGAACATGCTTATTAATAATCCACCTCACTGTGTCTAAGCACTCGAGCAAACGATAATAAATGTATCTAATCCTCTCATTTGCAAGGAGATAACTATAGAATTTCCTCTAATGTCAGGAGGATATTCTTCGACAGTTTTTCGCGAACCATAGCACTGAAATAGGAGGAAACGAAGGAGGAAGTGGCAAAAGTGATAATTCCTCTCGGTTCTCAGTTTCAAGCACAGTCGTTTTCTCTAAAAGATGACGTGATTTAATGTTGAGGTAGGCACCGGTCAACTATATGAGTTGTGCACTGGATAACACGTGAGCCCCTGGAAGGGGTGGTCGCACGTTTGAAGCTCACCTGAGGTTCCGAGTTTTGCCCATGCCTCAGGACCATTGTGGTTGTATTTCACATAAAATGTCTAAAGTTATCTTAGCCTGGTCTTAAAGAAGAACAGCTCCTATTAGCAGTTGTGCTCTGTGACGCTCAATAATATCTCCATATGGAATGATGTTTTTAAAAAATAGCATTCAGTGTGTTCTTATGAATCTGCTACGCCAGTGTAGCACAAACAAGTGCGGTGTTTTTTCTCTGAGACCATATTTAACCGAGAACGGTTATTATTGTAGTTATTTGATAAGCTTACACAGGATTGATATAGAACTTCATGGCCGTAAAAATTGTAGTAGGCAGAAAATAAAAAGTAAAACGTTATGATCGATGTTTGATGCTGGCTAAAGTGCTGGCTGGGGCTAAGGTTTCGACGCCATCGGCTTCTTCAAAGCAGAAATGAAGACAATTACCGACATTAACTGATCTCTGTGAATTGGTCTTCGTAGCCAACTCAAGTCGAATCCAGTAGAGCGGAAGGATAAAAACTGAGAAAAATAGCTGCAGCAAGCTTTTTTCGCCTCTTCGTTAACTCCGATATGAAAAAAAAAACCATGGATCCATCTCACTTTCGAAGTACGTAGGATTTGTGAAGTCGTGAGATTATCAAGAAAATACCTGCGCTTGGCTGATAGGGCAAATACTATCAATAGAAACCACCCTGTGTTTGCTCTGGGACGTTGGAGAACGCAGCTCAATGCTCTCCCAAATATCGCAAGGCTGAATTCCATTCGCTTAAAAAAAATCCACACAGTTTTTTCGAGCTCTAATCACAAAACTGATTATATGAGATTATTCAGGAAAAACTGAATCACAAATTCATGGTGAACCGAAGTCGTCTGTACTCATTTGCGTATTAGAAAGGGGTTACTGGCATCGCCTGACTGACGAAAGCATTCATCACGCTAAATGGGCCATCGTAGTTAATGACTTCGTTAGGGCATTGGGGAGGCTCACCTATTCCGAAAATCTTGAATAGCTACTTACTGTAACATCAGTTTAAGCAGAAAAATCACATCGTTTCTACAATTGTCGTTTCGGAAATCTTCCTCAAATGAGGGAGGTGACACTTCCATTTTTTGTTGAAGGAGTCTATAGCATTTGGTTCAGACAGGGAAAAGCCCGAACTACGTAATAAACACATCACAAAATGGTTAATACATGAGTCTGGCTCGTGACAGTGAACTGTCAGACATCATATGAAGAAAATCACCATGATGGTAACGACAAGTGAAGCAAGAGCAACACAAAGCCATTTTATCGCTACATCTCTTTGCTGCTTTCAGGCCATAATTGCCTGTTGTTGATCCCATATTCTACAAGAATGGCTACGTTGAACGAACAGCCGCCGTTGGACATGATTGGACGATATTTTAGTACTCAATCCATTTCAACGTTTTCAATTAGGAACTCCATTGTATAGGCCTTAGTGCCAAATGTCAGATTCAGCGGATGTAAGATTCAATAAAATCATTGGACAATAGATGTAACGTGCTGGATTTTTGCAGAAAAATGAACATCCTAGAGCATCAAACATCGATCATAACGTTTTACTTTTTATTTTCTGCCTACTACAATTTTTACAGCAGGGTATTAAACGAAATGCAACCACAACGTTTCTGAGATATTTACAAAACTCCGGACCACAGATGCCTACGGTGGGGAACGAACGCGCTATTACCCTTTCCGGCGACTAACGCGTTCACCACCACACCATACTGGTTCTTCGTTTCGCCTACCTCTCAGCTGTTGATCATAACGTTCATTTTATTCACTTAGTGGCGAAAGACAACCGACCGAGGAACTTTACGGTAAGAAAGGTTTGAATGGAAGCGTTACTAGGTTTCGCTCCACCTTTGCAACATAAGCTTTTACATCTACAGGCTGATGCTATTCATCTACATTTCATAGCAAACGCTTTCATTTTTTCAATTTTCTAGCAGTGATTTAGTGTGCTTGAACATTTCCAGGTTGTTCAGAAGAATATCTCTCATATCTTATTTGAAAGCTTTGGTACACTGCATTCCGAATTCCGAATAAAGCGATTCTTCTACTTGACCAGATAAATAAATAAAACAAAATCTCTTTTTTTACGCGTTTTTTTGAACCATAGGTAATTTTCTATTAGAATTTACCGTTACGGCACTCAGCGTGAAGAAATACTCTAGAGAAAGCTGTGAGTTTCTATCGACGTTTTCGGTTTAGTAGGACGAAGTCGCCTAGCCACAGTTTTCTCCAATTCTATTTTAGGCTTAAAGGGCGCCATCCCTAGCCTCTTTCCATCCACCATAAAACGACTTATCGAGGTTGAGGCTAAATTAAACTTTCTCAGGTGCTCCGCCCACCACGATATGAAGCACATTCTTCTCGTTTCTCATCGTCGAGCCTCACGTCTCAAACATTAAGCTGAATCGCTACTGGCCCACCAATGCTGTTCTTTTACCTCTTTTATTTTCTGTTATTTAAACTCCATTCAATGTCAATCTTCGGAAAAATTTTGTTTCATTTCATGAAGAATCATGCCGAGGGTTTTTTCTGATGAATACTACATTTTAATCCAATTTTCAAACTTCAGACGCAGTTTATTTTTTAGTTGTCCCTTAAAAAACATCATTAGTAGATAAAGTTTTGATCCGTTATTATTATTTACCACAGTAGGAAATGAAGAATATAGCTACTAGGTTTTGAAGGCTGTCAACCTTGTTCAGTAATAACAATGTATAAGCATTTTGTTGCACTTTTTTGTGTACTAAGCGATCTGAGACTTTTTGGTTCTTTGTGTAATAATTTGTCTCACGATCTGCTGTATTATATTTCACTGTTCTCTTACGGCAATAATGCATTCGTTTCGTTACCGAGTTGGCTACAAGTTACCTAAAGAAGCCCAAGATATTCTGTTGTTGTGGGATCACCATCAGCTGGGTCATCGTGCTTGCTATTTCGAGAGTCTCTAAGGTGCTGAGACCGTGTGGGCCAGTTGCATGTATGTTTGCTTTGAACTTTGAGTGGACGGACCTCCTAGACCACCTTTCCTCTGTTTGTGTATGCGTGTGTGGCCGTTTGTTTATGCGGTTACGGTTGCTTTGTTATGGATGCTTTTCGACCTAACACTATGATTACTGTTAGCCATGTTTTCTACAGCTCAAGTTAACAACAAACCGCACTGTTCCAGCTCCAAATGAGAGCGACACGACTGTATCTTTTGCCTCTGGTGCTTCTTTTAGGAGCCCATTCAAGAGCGGTTCATGGTGAGCAGAAGCAAAACGAAGAGCAAAACAATGTGAGTGTCGCGTTTCGCCTGGTAGTACACTGTATTCATAAAACCCTAGAACGGTCTTCAGTGATGTTCGTATAGTTGTTAGAGTTTTCGGTTTCTCGGCTTCCATCGGCGACTCCTGCGCTCGCCGTGCGTGCACTGTTTGACATTCAAGACGATAGATTAGACAACCACATCTACCTGCGTGCTCTAGTGGCTAATAAAGCAAACCCTACCCGAGAAAAAAAACCTTTCAAGATGACCAGTAGGTAAAACTGGCTCTTCTATGTCCACTCCCTCTTAATATAACCTTTGCAAATGGGATCTAGTAAGAAGTAGTGTTATTGAAAGTTTGCCACTGATAAATACGAAGGCTTCATTTGCGGAATACAGTAACAGGCAGTGATAACCCATAAACCATTACGAACGGAATTTTTGCTGAATTTAGACGGAAATTCCAATGAAGGGTCTCAGCAGAGCAAAACGTCAATGTTGCTACCAGCTGCAGTCAAGCTGTTGCCCACAACAACAGCAACAACAGCAGCCGCAATGCAACTGCGTGGCACTTTTGTTACAGGTATGTCATTAGAACAATATTTCTTCATTAATCAATTCACCGGTATCAGCTCTAACCCCGTTAGCCGACGAGTGACTCAAACGACCACTTATATTCTCCACTCATCCTAGAGCTGAACAATGGGCTAGATTCGTTCGAGAGACGCGAAAGCCACCACATGTGTGGACTCATTGTTCTTACTTTTTTTCCTTGACAAGAATATAACTGCTGGTCATTCGTCATATTCTGAACTGGACAACTCCAAGGGTAGTTTGTTAAGCAGAGTGCACTAAACTGGAAACTTAGTTGTTGGAAAGAACTTCAAGTTGCCTTTCGTCTACTCCTAAGTAGCCCCGACTGTAGTTTTCTCATCTCATCGAGTACAAATTCCCATGTCTTTCTCGCCCACCCACGCCCGCATGACTAAGCGTGTAGTTACATACAAAAGGTATATTCTAATGTGACACAGAAGAGAGGGATTCCATCCATGAAGCGTCTCAGTGCACATGCAATATCACGAGGTTTTAACCAATTAGCTAAATATATCTATAACATAAATACGGATTCAATCCCGATTTGTGCTCTCCGGATCATTCCCGTTGACGGATAATTGCTAATGGCACTGTTAGGCAGAAAACCAGCTAAGAGAAAGGTAAAGCAAGGGCTTCAGTGGTATAGCAAGTAACACGCGAGCCTCAGGAAAGGGTAATCGTGGGTTCGATCTTCCCTGGGGTCCAAGTTTTGCAAAAATCTTACTTTCATTGTGGCTGTTTAAATATAATTTGAAGCTACTCGATTTGAGACCCCGCATATTTGGGAAGTGCATGGTATCCTTTTATGACTGAACATTCCAGTGATCACGGTTATAACCGACTTCTTGCGAGCACTTGAGACGTAATTCAGTAATGTTGGGAAGCCAGGAATGACCGAGCTTTGTATAATTTAGCAACAGTGTTCGTTTGTGAACTTTTGCTTCATTCATCTCCTTATGGAATAGATTTAGAGCATTGGCTAAAGATGCTCTCCAATACACACGGGGTTTTTGGTCCGACCCAACACACCACACAAACCACGCTCTTCGACCGTCTCGAGTAGTGGAATTGGCGCTAGATCTTTCTAGAAGGACAAAAACAACTACCTATGGTTGACATGATAAGATGCGAGTGTTTCGTTCTATAGGCCAAATTTGCATTCATTCACCTTTACAAATGGAGCCAGCTCATGGAATATCCATCAGGAGTTGAGCTCTACAGAACGCTTTATTCTTCTCTCTTTTTGTCGACTGTTTTTGAATTTCCTTTGAGTGATTCCATATATACGTTTTCAGGTTCAGCAATGTGACTGTGCTAACACATTGCAATCACAGTGTGGTTGCCAAGGGCCATACAATCCCGCATGTAATTGTGGTCAGCTTCAACAGCAGTACAACAGCTGCGGATGTGGTCCATTAGCTTACCAGGTAGCAACAGTAATTCCAAATAACACAAACATACATATGTTGTCGTCAAACCCTGCAAAATTTAAGGTTTCCTGCAATCAGTGTCAGACTGCTCCACAACAGTTGTGCGAACCAGTATGTATGCCGTTGTGTCAACCCGTTTGCATACAGCAACAACAACAGCAACAGCTCACGCAGATAATCCTTGTTCAGCAACCTCCTCAACAACCTCCTCAGCAACAGTGCGCTCTCGTTTGTATGCCGGCCTGTCAGCCACAATGTATCCAGCAGGCTTGTGTACCGGCCTGCCAACCAATGTGCTTACCGCAATGCGTAGAACAACAACAACAACAGATTATTGTCGTCCAACAGCCACCACCACCCCCACCACCACCGCAACAACAACAGTGTGCACTGCTGTGCATGCCAGCCTGTCAGCCACAATGTGTTCAGCAATCTTGTGGCAACGCTTGCAACCAGCAGCCTCAACAAGTGATAGTCCTACAACAGCAGGCTCCTCAACCTCAGTGCGCTCCTGCGTGTATGCCATCCTGTCAACCTCAATGCGTGGAGCAACAACAACAGCAAATCATTGTCGTGCAACAATCACCACAACAACAGTGTGCTCCTGTCTGTATGCCGTCCTGCCAACCACAGTGCATTCAACAGGCTTGTGTTCCAGCGTGCCAACCAATGTGTTCTGAGCAGTGTGTTGAACAACAACAGCAGCAGGTCATAGTCGTACAGGTGCCATCACAGCCGCCATGCCCAACTACTTGCCAGCCATCGTGCTCTCCTCAGTGCGTCCAGCAGCAGCAAATCTGTGCTGTCGCATGTGAGCCTAGCTGTCAGAGTTCGTGTAACTCAAATGCGCAATGCGTTCAGGCTTGCCTTCCCAGTTGTGAATCTTCGTGCATTCAACAATCTAATCCCATTATCATTGTGCATCAACAACCGCAAAACAACTGTCCTATTCCATGTCAACCATCCTGCACTCCTCAGTGCGTTCAGACACAGCAGATCTGTCAGTCCACTTGTCAACCATCTTGCCAAAGCTCTTGCGGTGACAACCTACAGTGTATTCAGCTGTGCTTGCCTAGTTGTCAGCAATCTTGCAATCAGCAATCACAACCTGCGATCGTACTCCAGCAACAACAGCCCCAACAGCAAAAGTGCATCCCGGTTTGCCAACCGGCCTGCCAACCCCAATGCGTTCAGCAGCAGCAGATTTGCATACAAGCATGTCAACCAAGCTGCCAGAGTACGTGCGGCGGCAACATCCAGTGCTCGCAAAGTTGTCAAGGCAGTTGTGAACAAGCCTGTGCCAGTCAACAATTCGCTGTTATCCAAGCCCAACCTGCATGTGGTCAGCCCTGTCAGGTGATTTTTCTATTATTCTCATCTATGGACCACTAGTTTCAGTCAGATGATAAAGTATGTCTTTGCCCATCCACTTTTGCTTGTCTCAAAGTTTTCCAACAATAAACCCAACCATGCAATTCTCAGTCCCACTCGACTCGAGCATTGTTTAGATGAATTTCAACGATATCCATCGTGTCAAACTTTTCAACGTATACACACCAGCCTCAAATACTTAAACCACGTTAACAGTTCGACCATGACTTGTCTTTTGTTAAGTTTGTTGGGCTGAGGATACTGTGTGAAGAATGTAAAAAATTTCTGAGCTCATATTCACTGTTGTTATCCAGGAACGCAGAAATACCCGGTCATGGTTATCGCAACGTATTTTGGTCATCAGACTGCACTGTAATGTTAGCCGAACATAAAAAGAGACACATAAGAAAACATCTTCGAAGACAAAGGGTTAAACGCGCGCGTTGGCGCAGGTTTGTGTGAGAGCGGGATAACGGGCGCGGGAGCGTCTGCTGGCCCATGTTTACACACCCGAAACCGCCCCAATTGTCATTCGTTCATTAGCGGGGTTGCTGTTGAACTCATGTCATAGCTGTACGTACAAACGTCAAAGCACTACCACAACTTAATCAAGTCTATTTTGAATCATCGAAATCTATTTTGACTATGGTAAAGACCTACGATCTTGGAGAAGTGATACTAACCAGCCGAGACCTAGAAGTCCATAATTCCTAAGTGTTTACTCCAATATTTCATCTGGGGGTCATAGGTCGTAATTGACGGCAAAGCAAAAGAAGGTGTGAAGACCATAAATACTTCCAATTTCGAAAACAGTTTTTTCGGAAAGGAAGAAATGATCTCCATTTAAGAAGGCCATTATACAAATTTAAACCAAGAACTTATGAAACGTTCACTAGTAGATATTAGAGGAAAACTTTTTGAAGAGTCTGCTCAAAATTACTGGCGATGTCCGAAGAACAAATAACTTCACAGGGTATGCTTTAGAGCAAAGAATCCCCATTCTACCCCGGTTCTTTCGCAGGTGGCCAGTCCGAACATTCATGAGTCACCTGGCCTCAGATTTCGGCTAAAACAACAAATAAAACCAACGACAAAACATCATATCATAGAGCGCTGAGCCGTGTTTGCGAATTAGAGCATAAACTCACGCTAACTGGAAAAGCTTCTAGCCGGTTACGGCGACGAGGGGAGCTGTGCAGTACCAAGGGCCCGAGACTATAAAATGGTTCAACCAGCTGATAGTCATAGCTGTTGGTCATGATAAATCCAAAAATTACGATAAACTAAAGAGAGCTCACTTTACCAACTTTTTATTTACTGCCTACTACAAATTTTAACGGCAGGCTATTATGTGAAAAACAACCACAATAGTACTGAGCTTGTGCAAAACTCAAGACCGCAGATGTCTACCGTGAGGACTGAACACGCTATTTTGCTTTACAGAAGTTAACGCGTTCACCACCAAGCCGTGCAGGTTTTTCGTTTCGCCTTTTTGTAGGCCAGTTTTCCGGAAAGAGTAACAGCATATTAAATCGCCGCAAACACCTGCGGTCCGGAGTTTTACAAGTATCTCGGAATTGACATTCTTATCACTTATGGATCCACTAGTTAGGCTTATCAATTCTCTTTATGGTAGAAAAATAGGGGCGAGCCCCAAAATACAATTTTCTTCAACCTCTTATGAATACTGTAATTTCAGGCTCAGCCAGTTATGCAGTGCCCTCCTCAATGCCAACCTTCATGTCAGCCCTCGTGTGTGGCTCAGGCGCCGTCGATGGCGCAGCAGCCGGCGATTGTGATCTGCAACCAACCAGCTAGACAGTGTAGCTGTGGTGCTGGATACTCTCAATGTATGCAAGGAGTGTGTTGCCTTCGAAAGAGATATGTTCGGTCGAAGAACAAGACTTAATTTGTTCTTTTCACTAAGCTTAAGGTCATTACTGTTCTCTATCCCGCCGATTTGGCTTCGTCCTGCTCAACATCTCATTGCATTCAGTTAGTTTTGTGGCTACTGAAGCCTAGATTTTCAGCCACAGGTTCCTTTTTGCAATCGGTGCCCATGACTTTTCGAAGTGATCAGCCACTAAAGATGGCTTATATGTCTATCACTGCTCAAATTATTCCCTATTCAAGATTTCGTATGAAATAGTCTTCAATGTGCCATTGATTGTAATTGAGCACCAATTCGTTCACTTACTAATAATTTCAAAAACAGTAATAAAAATGCGAAATTACAACGAAACTAGAACACACTATACGCGTATTTACTCTGTTGGTGAATATTTCACAAGTCCGGCAAATCTTTGTTCACTTCAGAGTGATGGGAACCTCGACTGACTTGGAGGGGGTCGAACCAGATACCATACATGTTACTACTGTATGATATTTTTAGCCATTACACTTCTTGCACGCCATGCACGTACTGCTCGTAGAAGAAGATCCAAATGGTCCTCCACAAACTGTTTAAATTCATTAAATCACGAAGCAAGATAACAATGGCTTCATTAGAATCAACAAAAAAAGTGGAAACTTAGAAAAAGTTCGTATGCAGAAAGTTGCTTCAAAAGTGGCAAGGTAATGAAAGGTACATCGAAGCGGCTCCATTTTATGGACTTGCACTAGCATGTCTACATTAGCAAGGTTAACAAAACCGTACACCTATGCAATAAACCCTAATAAAAAGTAGCCAAATCAACAAACCCTGGTAAAACAAAAACTTCACAGATAAGTATGTAAAACGAGAAAAACATTGAAAGATAGAAGAGTTCCGAGAGAGTAGACCAATTAGAAAGCACGTTTTCCTATTCCATCAACAAAAACAAAATTCAGTACTCAATAACCCTTCCAGCGTACTCTCTCACTCCATATTTCGTACCCGTTATATCACCAACTTTATCCACGACATCCAGTACCTAAAAAACAGGTGTCAGAGGACTTCAATATAGCGTTGAAGGAAATTAGCTTGGAAATATCCAGAAAAAGCACTGTCTGAACAGTCAAAAACTATATTATAAGTGATAGAAGCAGATTCCTTTCCTCGTTGTTTCTAGCACAATCCAACCAAATTTCATGCGATAAAACCTAGCAATTCACGTATTCGCTAAAGCGTGCAAAGTTTTCTAAACTCCTTAACGATTTTAGTACGAGTGTAAAAAGTGATGCAAAATAAAGTTAGGAAGCTATTGCTTAAAAAATGACAGACAAAGGTGTTTCATTGGGATGGTAGAGCTTAATTCAGATAGCACTTATATAACTAGGTTCTGCGCTCCTAACACGTACCGATCGACGTCATTTAGACGAAAATGTAAACAGTCGAAAAAGAATATGGCGCTACATGGATTTAATGAACGATAGAATGGGTCTTGTATATGGAGGATACGTGAACACTGTACCCAACGACGAACTCTAACATTCTACACGCTCGCCATGAGTTCGAAGACTAGCCAATGATGTGTGAAGGAAACGAATTAGAACTACCCTTTCCTCGAAAACAAGAAAGACAGGATTTGTAAACTTCCCAACTTTCAGCCAGTTTTTCAATAGCCGTATTTGATTTGCGATGTTAGCATTTGATCTTACTAGAAATTTCTCCAAAATTCTCGAGACTCTTGGGACAACTGTGAGACGTCCACTCCGACGAAACGCTCCAGAACCTAGCAGAATGTGATGAGGCACTAAATCCCCGATATTATATTGACCATGAGATGATAACATCCAAGTCGTTAAATTATAAGAACACCTCCCGTCACTGAGCCTTAATGAAAACTCGACCATGTTTTTAACTTCGGTTATTCGAACTGAGTCCGCTATTCTACTGACGACTCACTGCGAAGTATAAGCAGATTGATACAAGTTGTTGATAACCTCCGGTCTATAGCGGTAAATCGTGATAAAATCATGATAATTATGGGACTGAATAACCAATATCACGTCGTATTTATCATCATACAAAAGCCCTTAAATTCTAGGACTGCTTACCACACCGTCTCTTTCTTCTTCCACTCGGCATGATTTCTATAGCCATAATCATCACCAATGTCCTAAGCATACCATTATTCATAATGCTGTTGATAGCATACGTGTATTCAGTAAGAAAGGTCTGTTGTTAAAAGATTTTCAACAGTGAGGATATTAAACATACCTCTAATAATATAAAAAGAGTAATTTTGATGTTCCACCGCAAACAAGCCCCATCCCAACCACCTTCATAGGCATTAAGAAAAGCTCTTTTTCTCTTCAGTTTCTCATTCAGCGGTTTTCAGTCTATCCACGACCGCTGTAATAGTAATAGCACTTGACCGTAAACATTTATCGCGACATTATTATAAATGATAACCTTTAGTCCAGCAACATATTCTTACTAATTCTGCTAAGGTTTTGATGTTGTGAAGTGCTCTCCACAGCTCCATGCTACAAAGCGTCACAGCTTTCGGCATCTTCAAATACTGACAACATTCTCCTCTAGTCATAATCCCTTTGCTTTAAGCAGTCTACTTCTTTTACAATCAATTTGGGTTTTCAGCATCTGCTGAGATACTGATACCTGTGGAAATGCGATTTTCGTAGTGTTTCAAAACAAGCTATTTTACGAACTCCACGTGGCTCATATAAGTCGTGCCAAAATCCAACCTTCTCCATTCGATGTGCTCTTCTTCTTGATGAGACGAGCCAACACCACTTCATGTTGAACATGACAATACAACAAAAGCTCAATATTCTTCTTATCTTCAGAACAAATTCAAAATTCAGCTGCTGAGTAAAGTGCAAGCCGTTGAGCAGAACACTATGGCCACAATGGACTCAATCCTGGCTATGAGTATACCAATGCAGCTCACGAAAGAAATCAACTCATGTGCGCTGGAATATGCAAGGAATATGACGAAATAATACTTCGTTTGTTTATAAGATTTTGCATATACAGTACTCGTCTAAATGTTCGAGGAAATTTGACAAAGTCCATCATTATTAAAGGAATTTTATGGTTAAGTGAAATACTGTAGACAAACAAATGTTCACAAGCAATGTTTTGCTATCCTCATATTGATAGTTATTATGGCTATTGCAAGATCGTAGACAGAGTATTGTGCTTAAGTAAATACCATTGCCTTCTCCAACTGTACTGTGAAGCATAATATCAGCATGCCTCCCAGTGTCAGGTTGCTATGCACTGCGGGGCGATTCATCCCTCTTACAGGGCCTACCAAGCTGGGAATGAGTCCGGCGTTTCCATCAGGAAACACAGCTAAGAGTAAACCAACACCAGGATTCACAATCGTTCTGGCATCAAACTAGTCGCATGGTGGCAAATGTCGCTCTGATCCACAACGTCGGCGACTGTCTGTGATGGTGACGATAGACTTTGGCTAGGCTGACCTCAGGACTCCAGAAAACAACAGTAGCTGAACCAGAAAAACTGCGAAAAAATGGAAATTACGCTGAAGCCCGCACAACCAATGAAGACGGGCTGTCCAAGCATCCAAGCAAGTAATATCAACCTGAGATGTGACATAATTTCAAAGATTGAAACAAACCTGTACAGTTGACGATTAAATGTTCCTGATGTTACTAAACTTACATAATCCAGCTGCTCCTTTGTGTGATCCGCGCTCAAACAAAATCGCACTCGAGCCTTAGTCAACGGCGTCGCCGGAAACCCCACAGCAACAAGCCCTATACCATATTTGAGTGTCTGCCGAGAAAATTCCCTGAATGCAAAACTACACTAAAGCAAGAAATCCACAGTAACCTGTTAAAGATGCCAAAAATTCTGTGCCGTAAACTTACACAACTTTTGATATATAAAATGTCATTAGCGGTACAACTGGACTATCTTCATGGCCATAAATGAGGAACCCCATCTGCTTTAGCCGACGTCGGAAATATCGTGAATTCCTCAACAACTGGAATGCTTTTCGAGCTCCAGTATCTGTTCCATCTTCACCATGCATTATCTAGGTAAACATGGAATAAAAAAACAATGGTATAATTCATGTTAAATTTTCATTTGCCGCCTATTATAATTTTTCACGGCAGGATATTATGTGAAATATAACCATAATGATGCTAAGATGTTTGAAAACCCCGGACCGCAAGTGTCTGCGGTGGAGAAGATCCGCATGGTGTAGCAATGAGCACGCTAGCTCCCGGAAAGGGTAGTAGCTGGTTCGTTCCTACCGGAGACACCTGAGACTCGGAGTTTCGCAAATATCTCAGCATCATTATGGAAGTATGATTCATTCGAAAACGTATTTTTCATTGTTCCGTTTTCTATTATCTTTCGACAAATTCCCAGCAAAACAATGGCTTGGAACATCTAAGATGTAAAACTTCATCAAATTCGGCAAAACAGCAGGTATTTTTGTTCCTTAACTGTAAAATTACCACACCTTCATACTGCTCAATACTTGGGCAACTATTGGTGGAGACATCACGGCCCCGTAACATGGACCGGCTGAACTGCATCGAATGTGGTCGATTACTGCCTGAACAAGTTTGTCTACTGCGCAATCAAGAAAGAATTAAGCCATAAAAATCATGAATGAAGGGCACCTTCCGTCCTCCCATATATCCACCAGCAGCCGCAAAACTTTTCGTCAACGTTCCCATCATAATGTCAACGTCGCCAGCATTGCAACCCCAATATTCCACAACGCCTTTACCAGTTGGACCAAGTGCACCAAAAAAAAAGAACGTAGATATAAAAATTACGTAAATGATTAACTGTTTTTAACCCTGGTAAAGAACCCAGTTCCCATAAGGCTGGCTACAACTTACCTACGCTATGAGCTTCGTCGAGAAACAGATATGCATTGTATTTCTTCTTGATACGAATGAATTCCGGAAGGTTCACAATTGTCCCCTCCATGCTAAAATCTAGTTCATTTTCAAGAAATGCTGTTCAACCACATATAGCAGATGCAGTAAATAATATGAAAGTGCTCCTCAGATTTTAAAAGAAAGGAAAGGAAACAATCAGAACCATAAGCTCGCACTGTTCTAAATATCATTTTTGCAGAAAACTTACAATAATTGCTGCTTGGCTTAAGGTGAAATCACAAATTACAATGAGTTCGCTCTTTCAATTCGTACAGAACAACCTCCGCGTAAAATTGGTAGTCGGGTTGCGCAAAAATAAGGTAACTTCCCATTCGATGGAAATTAACGCTATAAAAAGACGTTTGGTAAACTCCTTCATTACTGGATTTACGAAAGCTCGATTATAATTATACAGTGTAAGGAGATATGGAGGAGAAAGGACGTGTGTAGAACAGTGGTCGTAGGCGTCATGCAACACACAAAAGGGGGACACCGGCCTCCACGCCCGTAACTCACCAGGCCTTCCATCCCTCCGGAGTCGGCAAACTGGTATCAGACCTGCCCGAGAGGATAGCATCACTGACTCTTTACATTGGTATGCCACCGCGGGCGACTATAACGGCCAGATATGCATTCAATCACCTCCAACAATGCTTAATGAACTCGAATGCATGGCGTATCCCTCAGGGATCGATCAACGCCGAGAGCTCCATTCTTTTTTAACCTTTTAAGGAAATATGCGAAGAAGGCAGCAATATCTGATAAGCAAAACGTGAATGAATGAGGCAGTTTCACCTGTATATTCCTTCAATTACGATCAGAACTTTGTTAAAAGGTTTTCCTGTTTTCTGACTCGGATAGCATAGGGCGTTTCGTAGCTTGTTCTCGCAGTCTTTAGGATCTAAAATACGAAAATCCAACAGTGTTTGTTTTTTGCCTATTTCCTGTTACATTATTAGAAAAAAACGCGATTAATAAATAGATTACCGTGCAGTGGTTGTTTTCAGAGAAATCGCTGTAAAAATCAAAATCAATAAAAAGTATATATTTCTACTTCTGTTCAGCAAGCACGAGGTGCTATTTTATTTCTTTATTTACGCACAAGCTGACGTTTCGGCGGATTTCGATTTCCTCAGAGCCTGGAAGGGTCAAGTTGACAGCAATCCACTCGGCCAAACACCTCCATAACCAAACAGAGAAAACGCTAAACCAAAATTTCAATCACATTTAGCATAGCTCTGCACACTCACCGCTTTCTATGAGTCTTCCACTGAGTATATCGCGTGAAGACCGACCGCACAGAATTCACATGGAAGCGCAATGTGCCCCTACCATCAGAATAACAGGTTTATATACTGTCCAATATCGCTCGTGATAACGAGGCATTCCTCCCTGCGGTTCATTTTCGTATTCTTGGAATTTATCCAGAATGCCTCTAGAGTTTTGCGCGCTTGTGTTCTCGATTCTTGCGCGAGGATCGTAACCCTTACTTAAAATCTTCTCCGTCATGTTTCTGCGTGCTATGCGTACCTAGTGGAGTACTTAGCTTACGTTTGCCAACTAGGTGTTCTTTTATACGTACGCAGAGTGGTCTGCCCGTTTCGCCAACGTATTCGTCCCGCACGCTTTACAAGAGATCAGATAGACTGTACCCGAACTCATGCAGTCACCGTCTCTACCATTGGGGCAAATTATGTAATTTTGCATTGCACATAGACGGTCGTATAGGCGGTTACGAACTAGCTGGCGCCTTAGATTATTCGGTGGTATTTCGATTATCGTTACCGAATTCTCTAGACTGGGCCCTTCTTAAACAGCGTTTTATAGCTGCACTTACTTCATTTGAAATGAAGGGCAGTATAAACGGGACCTTGTTGTCCCTAGAGTTATCGTTGGGGTACCTGTGGTTTCCTCTACACCTATCTCGAGCTACGGTTTCGAAGCCGTTAAAAATGGCTACTTGCCGCGCCAAGTTCCGGGACTCCTCTCTCTGCTGTCTTCCTGTGCACATGCTGGTAGCTGTTCGATACAATACATGTTTCTCACGAGCGCCCTTTTCGTGTGAGAGGGATGAGAGGAGAGGTAATGAACTAGGATGTTTTTACTACTTGGCTTTCGATACCACTTTGCAATGTAGTCGTTTTCTGATTGGCTAATTTGCACGTTCAGAAATGGAAGCCAGTCTTCTTTTGGTTTCTCTCGTGTGAATTTAATATGCTCTGACTGTGTGTTCAACAACTCGAAACATCTGTCGATTTCTTCTTGCGTTGAACAAATGACCAAGCAGTCATCTATATATCTACAGTAGAGTAACGGACCGAGGTCGATTACTGGTGCTTTCACCTTAGACATGAATGCAATGGCAAGGCTTGGTGCCAGTCGTTGTCCCATTGCCAGCCCTCTCATTTGTGCGTAATACCTCCCGGACCATGTGAAGATTGAGTAGTTCAGGCAATCCTTTAAGAGTGTCATCAACTGCCGAATCGAGAAGCCGTACATGTTTATTGCTCCTTCGTGTTGTGGCCTGCATAGCGGAGTCATTCGACACGTTCGCATAGAGGGCAGTGATATCGAAGGACTCCACCACGTAGGTGCTGTTGGGTCACACGTCACGTAGACGATCCAGGAACATTTGGGTGTTCGTTAGATGAGCTGGAATGTACTTCAACAACTAAGTATTAGGGTTATTAACCACATTATTCTATCCGTTGGCCTGTCCACGCAGCTAATGATAGGTCTAACCTTAAATAACGATGGATCGGTAGACACGAGATCATCGCTGGATACTAACTTATGGGTTTTGATAAGTAAGTACAGGACGGGACATGTTGGTAAGTCAATTTTGACATGAGAAATAACTGATAGTTTTAACCCGGCCGCTCTTGCCACTTTAACCCATTCGTTGTTTAACTTTCGGCATTGAGTTTTAAATTCCTTCTCAGACGACGGACGATAAAGGGAAGCATCTTCAAGGTGCTTTTCCGTTATCTCAACATCTAACTGATGGGGAATTACAACGAACTCTCCACCCTTATCACTAACCGATAGTCTTATGTTTTTTGATCTTATCAGCTCTCGTACCTCTCGCATACCACGTTTTTATATTTCAGTGAGGTTGGAGCAGTATCTTTTAGCGCGATAGTGATTAAGGACTTTGAAAGTTTCATTCGTAAACATCCGAAATTTAACATCAACTTCATTAATGGGCCCTTGTTGTCTAAAGAACGGTAGAGGAAATGGTGGTACTGGTATCGTCCCTACTCCTTGTTGTTCGCGCCTATTTTGCGCTTCATCCCTAGCTTTTTTTGCGGAGTCTATCTTGAAGTTCATGTAAACTACATGCGACCCTACGCAAGGTTACCTTAGAAATGGGTCCAAATGGTGAGAAACTCGGTCCCAATTCTAATAACGAGCGCGCACCGTCAGAGAGGGTGGTCCCAATAAAAAGTATAAATGAACAGGGCGTGCGTAACGCAGAAGTTCGAGTTACTCTGCAATAATGACGTGGCCGCTGGTTCGATCACAAGCCCCGGGTTCACCAATCCTTCCACCCCGCCGAGGTCAGGAAATTGGTATCATACTAATCTGTGAGGAGCAGCACTGGCATGGTACATCGCCAGGCCATGACAAGGCGTACAGGCCAGATATGCACCTAGTCTCCTATTAACGATGCTTAGTGAATTCGAATGCATGGCACATCTCTCAGGGATTGATCAACGCTGAAAGCTTTATCATTTATAAATAAGTATTAAAAGCCATTACTGTTATGTTTAAACACAGTTATCGTGGCTCCAGAAACTCGGCATCCTAGGACAAGAGAGGCGTGGTTGAGCTCATCACTTAGAATTAAAGATCCCTAAACAGTTTGTGAAGTTAAAGCGCGTCAGATAACAGTCGAAACATTATATACCTTATCTACGAGTGAAGGAATGTTCATTGAGTTCGTTCCAAATCCCATGGGAAAACAAATGGCTGCCTCAACCCCGAGGTAACGTGCAACACATTCCTCAATCATAGCATGAACCACATGATTTCCTAAAATACATAACCAAGAATTACCCTGTGTATCAAATGGGTTTGAGAGGAACGGAAATATGGAGAACCATTTCGTAAAGTACCTCTTTCATGCCTAGAGCTACCAATATGAAGGCCATACATATCGATGAAGCGGGCTGCTTCTTCCGCGCACAGGCCATCGTTGTGCGAAAATCCGAGGTAGTTGTAAGAACCCATGTTAATTACGTCTCTCTCCTTCCCTGTGAATCTGTAGAAATAATTTCAGCGTTTTTTCTTCTGTTACACGCTTACTAAAGAAAAATGAAATGTTCGGTTCAGTTTTGATAAAACTTCGAAAAAAACTAAGCATCCTCATTTCCAGTACTTATAATAATTCTATTGCAAAAGTAAGATTTTCCACATTTGGCACTTCTTTGCTGTCTCAAAAATAATTCATGCACTATTGCTAATGCACAAAAGATTATTAGTAAATTGACCAGGATCGATTAATCGATTCGTGACTATATGAGTCATCTACGACTCCTTTTTTCCTGGATCTTACCATCACTACATAAAGTTTTGCGTTTAATTTTATGGTTTACCAATAGGCACGACAATATTTCTTGCACTACAATTAATGTCGCCAGAGAAAAGCGATTTTCACACCCCTTAACACAAAAACATGGGCGCGTGTGGCGCAGTGGTCGGAGGTGCCTTGCATCGGATCGATTCCCGCACCCCTGGCTCACCAAGCCCTCCATCCCTCCGGAGACTGCAAATTGGTGCCAGACTTGTCTGGTAGGATAGCAGCACTGGCTCAATATATTGGTAAGGCAACACGAATTGTTGTAAAAGCCAGATATGCATTCAATCATCTCCAAATGATACTTAGTGAAGTCGAATGCATTGCGCATCCCTCAGGGATTGATCAACTTTAGCCAAGAGCTTTATTGTTTTAAACACATAAACAGTACATTTTTGACCAGTTACTGGTTTCATCGAGTTTTCCGCAGCGATAGACTGTGAAGAGAATACCGAAACTTTACAAAATCCCGGAAAAGAAGAAAGCATTCCTACTTCGGAAATGAACGTACATACGCTGAGAGATAGTGAGTTGTACTGGCGAAAGAAAAAATTGGTTGCTCTGATCCTAGTAATGTGCTAATATCTTACAACAATGTTTATGTGAGAAAAGTGCAAAAAACACATGTAACTTCCGAAACTTGAATATCTACGGAGAGTAAAACGCCAATTAAGGGATAAAATGGCACAGTTGACTCATAATTATATATGATTTAATATGATTTAAACTCATATGTAGGCCTATTTAATTGTACCTTTCAAGGACAAACAAAACTTGCAAAACTCCGGACCGCAGGTGTCTAAGGTGGGGAACGAACGCGCTACTACCCTTTCTGGGGACTAACGCGTTCACCACCTCACCTTGCGAGTCTTTCGTTTCGCCTTTCTTTCACCCGTGTTATTGATCTGTAGGTGCTATAATACACAATACCCTTCCATTAAAAAGAGTAGGCAGTAAACAAGAAGTGACAACATAGAGTCATCTTCATAACCTAGTATACATCTACATCACAACTACACCCACAGAAGTCTCCTGCACGGTTTAACGCTGCAACGAAACGATGTCACTAAATGTCCAACTTCAGGATACAAGTAGAGTGGTCCTCATGAGCAACAGCCTGTGTGGTAGAAGATACCCTTATACCCTCCTACCTCATGACAGCCTAACCACTGAATGACAGGAAAACAGCTTTTTATAAACTATACGGTACATCAAGAATCCAGCCTTTTTGGATAACTCTTGGCACCACATGTGGTCGAAAATTACTGACTGAATACGGAAAGTGGTGCAACAAAGGAACTCTGCGGCAAAAAAACGGTCGATGAGAAAACAAATTGGGATCAACGCACCTGCCAGGTATGCCCATACTCATTGAGGTCAATGCGCATCATCCAGAACATATGAATGGCAATGGATCAGATAATGGTCTATCGCACAACATTTCACCGCTATTGATTACTTCGTATTAATGAGAAATTTGGGTGGAGTTTTACAGCTGTACGTAAAAAAGGTTAATAAAAAGGGACAAAGCTCTCGGCGTTCATCAATCCCTGAGAGAGGCGCCACGCATTTGACTTCATTAAGCATCGTTGGAGGGGACTGAATGCATATCTGGCCTTGGACAAATAACTCGCGATGGCCTGCCGATATATCGAGCCAGTGCTGCTATCCTCCCAGACAAGTGTGTTACCAACTTGCCGACCCCGGAAAGATGGAGGGCTTGGTGGACCATGGGCACGGGGATCGATTCCATGTGTATGTCGTAGTGGCGCCTCCAACCACTGCGCCACACGCGCCTCTCAACATCTCGTACAAGAGAAAAACATCTCAGGAAATGGGATAAATTTGAAGTCTTTGCTTTCATGTTCTTTTTCCATATACTCGCAACAACATTAGGAACACATGGGTGGTACAAAGTCACAAATAATTGAACTTCTTAATTAAAACAAACATCCCAGCTCACACGCCCACAAAACTTTTCTTTCTTTTCGCACATTGTCATCTTTCGCGAGGCAAAAGAATTCAGCTAGCAGGATTTCCACAAACACGGCACAATGGCTTCCTTAAATGTGTTTATATTTGCTGCCTCTTCTCCACTGCCTTAGGAATGTTGAAAACTTAAATCTCGTCTTCAGTTGCTGGGCGTGTAGATTTTAAAGAAAGCAACTATTAAAATAACAATTCCGAAAAAACCATATGCTCCTTTAAATCGATAAAGCAAAGTCCGTTTAGTTAAATCGTCAGGTTCTCAACTAAAAAAGTTATTGCAGAATTGTTGAAAGTTGTTGGAAAACCAAGATGGTCGCGAATGTACTAACAGGTGCTAAATCACTTGTATCACTTGGAATCCTATCAATCCCAAAGCGATGCAAGCAGACAGCAGAGAATCTCCGTTCGTCCTTACTGCATAGAAGAGTTTCTTAATGAACTCCGCTCTGGAAATAACAGCAAGAGCGCCACACCTTTTGTACTTATTCCCCTTATTTCCACTGTCCAGCGAAAAGATAGCCATCGATAGTTTTTCAGAGTTTCCCACACTTTCGCTATCAGCTGGAGTTCTGGATAGGAATGTTGAGTAGTTTTCAGTATGGATAATCTTTCCGAGGCTAGGGCACCGCATATGCAAACCCAGGAACATTTCACAGCTATGACGTATGTTTTTCCTGACGACTTAACTACTATAACGAAGACACTCATAAAAAATTGGCATTTCGAATGCGATAAGGTGATCTAACACCAGAGCAGCCATCAGGAAAAACAACATTCTTCGTCTTATTATAGCTTTTAGACTGAGCGAAATATAAAACAAACTGAAGACGTTGAATAATGGTGACGGTCACGTGCCCAAATAAAAGAAAAGGAATATCACTAACAAATGGGACGAAGTTCAGCCTACCCTGTATCAATATCTTTGAGGCAACTCTGAAATATCACTTCTAATGTTTCCCAAACTACTATTAGTAAAGACCACCACCTACACAGATAAGAAATTTCCAACGTTTACCTGGAAATACTACATATAGTACTATCCACGGATCCACACCGTATAATAAATTATCACGTGATTAACAATTCTGTGGAAGGGGGAATGGCGCCGTGGAAGTTGATCACCACAAGCACGATCCGGATGGTTTGATTCAGTTCCGGACTCACCGAGCCTCTCACCTCTCATCCCTCCGGGATCGGGGAATTGGTACCCGACTTGTCCGGGAAAAAGAATTCTCTGCAATCCAAGTGGGAACGCCCTGGCACCGCTATCTAAGGACTCCAGGGAGAAATGACTCGGCTGGAATTTTAAGACATTCAAGATGAAATGAAAATCCTCAAGCAGCAGCATAAGCTACACGTAAAAGTTGGAAGCCCATAGTGGTGATGAAAGCGAGGAAACGATCGAATTTGAGAATGCTAGGATCCACACAACAGATGTGAAAGACGGGTTGCACAAAATAAAAAAGAAGTCATGCTAGAATGTTTCACATAGAGAACCCAAGTGCGCCACGTACCTCTCACGAAATGAAAGTGGATTCCGGAGGATCCACAGACACGTAACCATGTCCAAACAATATGTACCACAGTGCATCTGAGCATATAGAGAACGTGTTTTGCCCAACTATTTGGCCAAAACCTTGGAACCAAGTGATTGGGAGCACACCGTTCACTGTTATGGTCCGTCCTAATAAATAAGTCACACATATCATCTGGAGAATGCCATAAATATCAGTGAGTCCACCGCCTTCACAGCAAAGCCTAGAGAGTAATCAGCGACAATTCCTCTATCGAAACAAGGAAAGGATACCTTACGAAACAAGCTGGTCTCTTGTCGGGTCTCTACAACTATGAGAAGCCATTGAACATTTCTGAAGAGCGGCGGTGGCGAATGCAGATATCACCGGTCCGTATCAGCCGACAATTAAAAGAACTATAGGTGACTCTTTACAAAGTAAATAAACAGATACAAATAAGCCGATAAATGATACAATGAACGATGTAATTCGTAAAGTGACATATGGCTACGTAGGGCAAGGTAAATTCAAGAGAAAAGAAAGATACAAGGAAAGAAAAACGATGAAAATGACTGACTTCTGGGTCCATCCATTGTCGTCCGTATATCTTTCCTTCAAACGCATTACGCTAGCCGGTACACTACAGATCGGACGATTGACGACGTCACTCGATTTTCGGTAAATATGATTAATGTAAACTGCTTCAAAGTGGTTATCCAGTGGTGCAAAACCCTATAACAACATTGTTCGTGATATTACTTACATGATACTTGAAAGGCCCGTCCTCACTGGTCGCGCGGGCCCTAGGATAATCTCCATTTTTCGGAGATTTGCTGGCTTAGCCATTATGGTTTCCTGGCGTCTCGAGGTCAGCCTGGCCAAAGTCTGCCCCAGGTCTTCACCACCACGGGCAGTCGCAACCCTTGCGGACCAGAGGGAGATTTACCACCATGCGACTTTGATACCAGGACGGTGGTGGGCCCTGGTATTGGTTTACTCTTAGCTAGGCTTCTTGATGGAATCGTCGAACTCCTTCTCAGCTTGGGAGACCCTATCAGGGAACGAATCCCCCGCTGTAAAACGCAGTGCGACATCCAGGAACACCTCCCAGCCACGATGAGGCCGTAAACCGCTGGGAGGTATTCGTGATATTTCAAAAACCAACTTTCCTTTAACCTCTGTACGGCTAATCAATATGTATCCTTTTTTGATAAGCTTAACCGACGTTGATAATAGTCTCGACCGTTGGTCAACCTCATGTAAACTTGTCAAAGAAAGGATAAATATTTTTTCTACTTCTGTTCAGCAAGGATAACAAGGATAAATATTGATAAATCGTGATACATCGTATAGTTCACCCTAACTTGGTGAAAATAGAAGGTGTGCTAGTAAATAAATTAATGTTACGAGAGCATAATATGGTAAAAGGATAAAGCTCTCCCTACGTTAAGCATCGTTGGAAGCGATTAAATGCATATCAACCTTTACAATGAATCGCGATGGTCGACCGATGTATCGAGCCAGTGCTGCTATCCTCCCAGATAAGTATAGTACCAATTCGCCGACCTCGGAGGGATGGAGGGCATGGTGGGCCTGGTGTGCGGAATCGATCCAATGTGTATTGCAGGGCGCCTCCGACCATTACTGTATACACGGCCACATAACCTAGCAAATCAACTTCATGTTCTTATACCCGACGAATCCTAAACGAAATTAAAACCCGTTATAAAGACTGTACTTCCTCCAATCGAGAAGATTCACCCTAACGAAGAAGAAAGTAAACATAATTATCTAGCACCTTTATGAAGTTTCCTAATAGAAAAACACCTAGCAAAAGGGAAAAGTAAACATTCGATCAAAATACCTGGAGAGAAACCTATCACAGAATATTCAGTTTTTAGACCCAATCTGTAAAGTAAGCCTAGATGGAAAGACTCCTGCAGAAGTACTAGTAGTACAGCACCTTCTAGAAAACTCAAAAGAACAACCTTGTGCCTTGGATCGTCCGCGGCGATCTTGACTTTGATGATACCTCGTGTTCGAAGCCAGTCCGCAAAAATTCCGGCCAGAAAGGCCACAGCGAACGAGAACTTGACCATCAATGATACGTACCATGGTGGATCCTCCATGAAAGCATCCACAGCACACGAACTACGCTTCCAATTTGATCTAAATGTGATTGGTACAAAGCAATGCTATAGGAAACTACTCTTCCGGATCGATTTTCACTTAACCTCGGCATAAATGATCAGTATATATTTCTAGAATGTTCAGCTTACACAAAGCTGTTAAAAAAAATTCTTACTCGGCTGATTTCGTTAGGTTGTTCACAAGGGATAAGAACAACCGCATCCAAGCTGAATGATCTAAAGCTACAAGAAACTAAGAGAATCCAGCTGAAGGAAAGTTCATCGATAAAAAGAAAACAAAACATAATCTTACGGTTTAGAAAGTAAACTAGAATCCGGGCTACTAGACTCTTGTGCTGGACCCTTCGTGACACCGAGCACGAATAGCGCGCTTTCACTGCCGTAGAGTTCGGATCGAGTCATAATTTCTAAAAAAAAAACCTGAAAATGGGCAGAACTTGTTGGACTATCCATCGTTCCAAAAGATACGTAGGAAAACCTTGAAAAAAGTAGCTCTGGAAAATGACAACGAAGAACTTAATCCTATATATTTCGATCAGATCACAAACCATGAGCGACAAAATCAAAGAATCTCGATTCTAACAGATATAAAAACCAATTTGTTTACAGAAGTGTAAAAATGACAATCGTTAAGATCTTCCTGAATCGACTTCTTTTGCCACCTTGCAATCCAACAGGAAGTGGAACATTTTTTGAAAGAATCTGAGCTTAAATTCTTAATTTGGAGCAATAGGAGATTTAGAAATCCTTCCTGAGGATCTAAGATTAAATAAAAACCTTCAAAAATCAATGAAAGTTAGAATATAAGACATTTAATAGCCCTCGTGTTTGCTGAACAGAAGTAGGAAGATAAGACATTTAATTGTTAAAATGACCTTTTGAAAAACGGTTCACCGTGATAGAAACCCGGAACTGCTGAAGATTTCTCCCAAATAAATCAATAACGATCTAAGATAAGTGATCATAAAGTTTTGCATAAGCGAATTTTGTCTTGGAAAAGAAAAAAACTGGACGCAGGGATGAGAATGCGTTGATTTCAATGCATATCGTCGCGAATATTCTCACAGGCAAATTGCACATACAATGATTCAAGGAGCTAAGCAAATTACTGACTTGCTATACTTTTATACGTCAATATTTATCAAATTATTGATTTGTTCTACTACTATAGATCAATATTGACCAGATCATTGACTTTTCAGCCTTTTATTGGTCAATATTGTACCATAGGACAAAATTACAAATTTAATAATAATCTGTTTGAACTCTGTTCAAGTGATAAGAATACGACTCAAATAGGACTCACATGAAGAGACGTAGCTTTTCGTTACAATAACATAAAGCAAAGTAAGTTCATGAAGTAAAAAACGTATGCAAAAGCTTTCCGTCAGCCGAATGGTATGAATTTTATAGTAAGAAGTTCATGGGAAATCGTAGATCTTCAGCAGAACTAACTAAATACCAAGTTACCAATATATTACAAGTCTTCATTCAAACCGAGAATGACAAGAGTTAGGGACCAACTGGATGGACATATACGTGATGGAGCGCAGGGCAAACAAAGGTCGACGATAAGAGCAACATCGCCCCATTTCTTGTTACGTCAGAGTGACTGTTCCATTAATCATCAGACCTAGAGAAATGTAGAAAACACAACTGGTCAACAGAAACTGGAATTACAGCACAACGAAGGTTTGCGAGAAATATGTTGCCGCTGGAGCGAAACGCGTATGATCTACGCATGCGTTGGATGTGGGTCCGAGTGGACGAAGTGAATTACATGCGATATATTTCCTTTTCAGTGGTTCATTTTGCCACACTGATCTTCGTTGTCGCACTTTTGTATTCAATCAACGACCAATTCGAAACAGGTCTGTCAAACGCGGCACTCTTCTCAGCAAGACCCAACGGAAGGCTACTTTTTATACTTAGCAGCTTACAAAAAACTGTTCCGTCGGACAAATTCATTTCGTGGCATGAAATTGCTGTTGTTGAAAAGAGTACCTACTGTAGAGACTGCTGTCGCTGAAGAAGATGCAGTAGCGTGCCTCTAGGGTGATAAGGCAAAATCTCTTCTTTGAGTTTTCTCTTTGTCATGCCTCCAACGCATCGAATTCTCCAGTCGTCGAGAAATCTTCGCATATTATCGAAAAGTGAGTACCATTCATTATGGATGAAGGATAAACGATAAAGCCTTCAGCGTTGATCAATCCTTGAGGAATGAGCCATGCATTCGACTTCATAAGCATCGTTGGAGGTCACTGAATGCATATCCGTCCTTTATAATGACTCGCGGTGGCCTACCGATGTATCGAGCCGGTGCTGCTATGTTACAGACAAGTCTGCTACCAGTCTGATAAAAGAAAAGCATGGTGAGTCCGAAAAGAGGGACCGAACCAAAGACCACGTTTGCATCACCGGACACCTTTAACCACTGCCCTACACACACCTTTTGTTCACTATGAACCGAAAGCAAGTGGCGCACGAGTTGTTTCAGTTCAAAAATGGGAAAGAGATAAAGCTCCCGGTGTTATTCAATCCCTGAGTGATGCGCCATGCATTTGACTTCATTAGGCATCGTTGGAGATGACTGCGTGCATATCTGGCATTTACAGTGAATCGCGATGGCCTGCCGATGTATTGAGCTATCCTCTCAGACAAAAGTCCGGACAGAAGTTGAACCAGTGCTGTTATCTTCACAGATAGTCTGATACAAATTTGCCGACCTGGAAGGATGCAAAACTTGGTGAGCCTGAGGCGCGTGGATCGTTCGCAAATGTTTTGCACGGGGCCTCCGACCACTGCGCTAGAAGCGCCCTTTCCAGTCCATAACCGACATGAAACTAGGCATAACCCTAATCGGTCGACATACAAAACTAGGAGTAATTACGCCTATGTTAAGCCGTTTCTGAGCAATTCAGAAGTATAACAGAAGCACTTCAGAATGTATGTAATGTTCCATCGGAAAATTCAGGAAGTGGTTAGATGCTCACTGACACACATCCCTACGTGGTTCTACACTTCTGTGAATGGAAATGAATACTTAACCACTGGACTACAAGAACTGCCGAGCACAAGATGAGACCTTGGACCCGTTGAGGATTCCAGAAGATACGATGCACTTCCAAAGATGTTAACTACAATGGGGAATTCATCTTTCATGCAGATCGTATTTCTGAAGAAAAGAAAAGCAAATGGACCACATGTAGGGTCGGATCAAGTAATCCTGTTCACGGGTGACTGCTGATGGCGCTGATCAATCGGGCTAGCTGAGCGACAGGCGAAACGAAGAACCCGCATGGTGTGGTGGTGTACGCGTTACTCCTCGGAAAAGGTAATAGAGCGTTCGTTCCCCACCGCAGACATCTGCGGTTCGGAGTTTTGCAAATATCTGAGCATCATTACGACCTTTGATTTGTTCTAGTCTCGGACAAACAAACTTCTTCATACAGTTTCGACAGAAGAATTATATGGGACGAATACATATCCAGTCGTGAATAGAGCCGAATGCATGTTACATTTCCGGGAAAGTAATTGCTGAACGCCTCATCCTTCATTAATTTTTGAAATGAATTCTTCTCATTACTGATCCGCTGCCTCTTAAGCGCTTCAATACCGTGTGAACTTATTTGGGATGCCCAGCGAAAGTGTATATGGGTGCTTCATAGGCGATTCACTTAAATACTTAATACTTATTTACTTGATACTTGAATGGCCCTTCCTCACTGTTTGTGCGGACCCCAGCTTAATTTCCATTTTTCGGAAATTTGCTGGTTAAGCCATTATGGTTCCCTGGAGTCCCGAGGTCAGCCCTGCCAAAGTCTGCCCCAGCTCTTCACCACCACGGGCAGTCGCAGCCCTTATGGATCGGAGGGAGATTTACCACCATGTGACTTTGATACCAGGACGGTAGTGGATCCTGGTATTGGTTTACTCCTAGCTAGGTTTCCTTATGGAAACGTTGGACTCCTTCTCAGCTTGGGAGACCCTGCCGGGGGATTCATCCTAACGTTAGATGCTGGTCGAGTCGATTATCCTCGGAGTCTTGAGATAGCTGTGCGAAAACATTTCCACGTCATGAGTTTCACTAGACAAGTATGATAACAATTTTCCGACTCTGGAGGTGCGAAAAGCCCTGTGAGCCCGCATAGGGGTTAAACTCGCCCGTGGGAAGGTTGCGCTGTCAGTAATAAACGGCATCACTACCACTGCGTTACTCGTTAACTAGAAACTAATGAACTAGATTAAAAACTAGTCTAAGCTAGTAAATTCAAAAACTTAATGGTAATGCCACATTGTACTGAACCAATTCCTCTTAAGAGTCTCACTACGGGCACTAATTCATAACACCCATGGTTGCCTTTTCGAAAACCGATGATGATTGTTTTATCACTACAGTACTCGAGGAGTTGAGAAGCTCACAACTTATTGAAAAAACTTCGCTCTCTCGTCTCAAACGTACACATAGTTTTTATAAGAATTTCTTTTTCAA